TCTACCTGCTTAGTGGAATAAAAACAACAATGTCAGGTTTCTTATGCAAGTATCCACTCAATTTTAAGATTCTTAACAAGACATAAAAAAGGATGCTCTGAATTTTTAGTTTCTCTTGCTATTATAGGAATTGTTTCTGTGTGATGCTCAGAGAGAACTTCGACTTACGATATTAAGGCAGTGGTACAATTTTAAACTGTCACAATAAAGTGTAAAAATGATTTTAGCATGACTATACTTTCTTGGTGATTGTTTACATATTAATTTGGGAAACTAATAATACATTAGTATAATATCTATATTATAGATAATTAGACGAAAACCAATTAAGTTTCCTCCATTAACACAGGGCATGAGTAGATAGTGAGAAAAAAAAACTTAAATTAATAACTTAAAGTTTACAAAATGGAGAAACTCATTAACTAGAGCTATGATGATATCAAGGGGTGAAAACCTATTTGGTTTTATTTATTTATTGCTCAGGTGGTGGGTGGACGAGCTCACAGCCCACCTGGTGTTAAGTGGTTACTGGAGCCCATGGACATCTACAACGTAAATGCGACAGCCACCTTGAGATATAAGTTCTAAGATCTCAGTATAGTTACAACGGCTGCTCCACCCTTCAAACCGAAACGCATTACTGATTCACGGCAGAAATAGGCAGGGCGGTGGTACCTACCCGCGCAGACTCACAAGAGGTCCTACCACCAATAACATAAATTTTTTGAAAATAGTCTTCAAACTGCGACCGGTATATTCCCGATACCATTTAAACTTCATATACATATGTTAATATTTCCCTTCTATCCAAAAAAGTAATACGGGCCTTTTTAATACGGCACATTTTCGCTTCTAATTTAATTGCACATAAACCCCTTTGTAAAAACAACGAATGAATGTACAATTTAGATTAGTTTTTCCACACCAGTCACCCCGTAACCGCTCGGCGTGAAGCAAACGTAAATAAACATCGTTCAAAACAAAAATGGCCGACTTCGTAACGGTGTTCCGAATTTAAATAATCGAATGCAATGCTCATTGTATTTTTATTGTTTTATCTAAATTCTAAATACAAAAATATGTGTGTGTGTGTCTTAAGTGGTTTTACGCTGATCAAAATACGTTCGTGTGAAAAGTTTTGTAGAGATTTTTTTTGCATTTTATAATACGCAAACGAATTATTAATGGTGGTAGGACCTTTTTTTTATGATTGAAATATTACTGGTGGCCCGGAGGCCTTTCCAGCTTCACCAGGACAGGTGGGCGAGCAAAGGCTCAGCCAGGAGGGGTGGGATTTGCTAACAACTGCCCGAGCGCCTCCGAAGGAGACCTAACAACTCAAGAGCAATTGCTTCGCGAATGAATCTACTACCGGATCGGAATCGCGACCCACTGAGAAGATCCGGCGAGAAACTCAGCGGGCTGATGCATGGGTTAGGTTGCACGTCGACCTCTTTGTCGAGTTCGACGAGTACGGTTACCGGGGTTCCTCAGCCTGCTCCTAGTGTTAGAGCTGAAGGTATCCAATGCAAGAGTTATTGGATCTGATGGATCCGTAAGGACGTGCCTAGAGCATAGAGCGGTAGGCAGCGGCTTGGCTCTGCCCCTGGCATTGCTGAAGTCCATGGGCGACGGTAACCACTCGCCATCGTGTGGGCCCTAAGCTCGTCTGCCAACAAGGGCAATAAAAAAAAAACTTCCTTAACAACTCATTGTAAATACAAATGTGTAAGTTCACTTGTATAATAATTTCATCAACCTATTGTCTCATTTATCTATTCACATTCTCATAGCCCCTTTTGTTTTTGGTTGTTCGCATCATAGTCGATTTTTTATAAATCGGACATTTTCCAATTCATCAGGTGACACGGGCTTATTATGATCCTTTTTCAGACGAGGTTTACGGAGATTACTTGGCGGCCAGCAGGGCTTGGCTTGACCTCTGGAATTACTGTTGTCCATGAACGACGGTAACCACTCACCATCAGGTATGTGACCTATGAAGACGTATCTTCGTTTGCCTACAACGAAAAATATTTTTTTTGTGGACCGTACCATTTATCTATTGCTTGGTAATAGGTATGAACATTTATATCTATGAATTTATAATATAAATATTATTTACGGCGATGCACAAATGATGAGCCGCCAACTATTGATAGTTTTTGCTGCAAAGCAATAATGCATTTCAATATGCTTTACTGTTGCATTCCTTACCTACCTAACACTCGCTTTCGTTGTCTCAGCACTCCTCTTAACCCACCTACATCAGGATCAGTGAGTCAGTCTCCTTCATCCCATCATCCAAGAAAGTTGCCTTAAATAATTTAAATAGTTTTTATTTAAACCAAATTTTCCGGAGTCCCAAAACAGTAGGTACGATGCCAGTTGTTAGTTTTTCCTTTATTGATGCACAAATTATAACCATAAAAATTATAAGTTTAAATATTTAATAATATAACAATCTGAATTGCAATTCGAAACAGGAAGTTGTATTCTATGTGAAATTTTGACGGCTATGTACCTACGTATATAGAGGACGTTATTAAATTTATGCTGCCTATAAATTTGATTAACAATGAATGAAAATAATGAACTAATTTTAATATTTACCACGTGATAAATATTTTTTTTAATTATTGTTTTGCTTTTGTTTAACGCACGCTGAGATCGCTTGCTCTTAAAGTTGCAGTCATTAAAGATTCATGATATTATGATTTTTTATTTATTTATATTCTACTGTTAATTCTGTTTTTATTTTTCTTCATTATTTAATAATCAGCTTAAAGGCTCGATCTATTATGATAGATCTCTCTGAAATACCTAGGTTAGTTCCGGTTTTTTTTCGAAATATGAACGGTTGTCTGGAAGAGATCGTTTTTAGCTATAAGACCACTTATTGTACAATCGTACTGTCTGTTCATGGGTTTTTCAATGTTAATTGTGTTTTGATGTGCAATAAAGTATATTTTATCTCTCTCTAAATTCTATTGATAATATCGCATCGGCTTCTTCCAGGCATTTATAGGAAATTAGATAGTGGTTTATTTAATGTTCAAATGACGACGAATCACATCCTTGTCCTAGTCGTACGTGAGTGACCGCCGTAAAAAACTATTATTGAAATTAAAGAAATAATAAAATGAAAATAATAAAGGCGAGCTTAAACAGTAAAAGCAGATTTTTTTGTGTCTGTCAGCAATCTTTAAATAGGTAACTGAATAATTAAATAACAAGGCAATATGAATTTCATTTATTTACTAATGGTTTCATACTGGGACTGAGAATAGAATAACATTGTTCTCTTCGTATTGTATTTACCACCTACAATATATATAATATACTATACTGAATGCGTAATATTTATTAAGCTTGTAGATTTATTAAATAATTCTTAAAGTGAACATTAATAAATAAATAAAATCTTAAAACAGTTACATAGTCAAAGTTTTAGTAAATTTTTATAGTAAACCATGACAAAAGTCAATTTTACAAAAATATTTAAACGTAGGTACTGTAAATGCTTTTTTTTTATTGCTTAGATGGGTGGACGAGCTCACAGCCCACCTGGTGTTAAGTAGTTACTGAAGCCCATAGACATCCACAACGTAAATGCGCCACCCACCTTGAGATATAAGTTCTAAAGTCTCACGTATAGTTACAACGGCTGCCCCACCCTTCAAACCGAAATGCATTACTGCTTCACGGCAGAAATAGGCAGGGTGGTGGTACCCACCCGCGCGGACTCACAAGAGGTCCTACCACCAGTAATTACGCAAATTATAATTTTGCGGGTTTCATTTTTATTACACGATTTTATTCCTTCACCGTGAAAATCAATCGTGAACATTTGTTGAGTACGTATTTCATTAGGTAAATAGGCATTATTGCGGCGCGCTGCAGGACTCAATGAATTGATGGCCTATTGCAGCTACTGCCTATTTCAATAGTTTTTTTTTAAGATACCTACCTATTACCAAAGTTGTTCAAACAGTTGTCCACCTAGTCCCAAAGTAATTAGGAACTTGACTTTATTTAAAAAAAAAGGTGAAGCTCTTAACGATTGAATCCGATAAAGGCTTTATGTCAGGTGAGCTTATATTAATGAAAAAGATTAGCTATTTTGTTTTATTTATTTTAATAAACAAGCTCACACACTATTTTTGTTATTCAACTATAATATCTATAGTAAAGGTGAATAGAATTTGTACAGTGAAAAGGATAAGGATTAAGTGAATCCGAAATTGCTTCGAATAATTGGATTGATTGAAATAAAAAGTTTGTAGTAATAAGATTTAGAAAAAAAAATTTCAAGGCACGAGTTATTTTTTCAATTCTATCTCTGATGGCAATTAATAAATTTGTAGTAATAAGATTTTTAAATAAAATTTTCAAGGTACGAGTTATTTTTTCAATTCTATCTCTGATGGCAATCCCAGCTCCTAATTAGGTTGTTTAATTACATTCACATACTTATTTAACTTGTATTTAAACTATAATAAATAGTATTTCATGTTTGTGGACCATCGTAATTAATAATGATATTATGTAGTGCCTATTTATTGTTTTTAATTAAGAACATTAAAAATAAAAAGAAAAATCTAATAATTCACCGAATGAATGTTATGAATAAGGAAAAGTGGAACTTTCGAATGAAAAACATAAGTCTGATCGACGCTAAATGATAGAACGAGTAGTTATCCGCGCGTCTTCATCCCGATAATTAACCGACAACCCCCCGCGACCCCGCACCCGACCCCCTCGATCCTTCAGCAAACCAAATTAATCACACCACGAATCTAGCCCCCAATCCAGGGCCGGATTAAAAACTTTTATTGGAGAGCCGAGCGTGGCGTTACGCCGCACCCACCGCGGCCCGGCCCACCAATGCCGAGTCGACTGCAATAAACGGAGCCGGTTCCATTGGACGAGTGGGACCAGCCCACGCCCGGACTACGCCCGACCCACGGCTGTCAAACGCCGCGTCAGTTGACCGAGGCGCGTCGACCCGTCAGCCGTATCCCGCGTTAACTTCGCCGTTGACTGACATAAACAAAACAAAACGGAACGTTTCGATTGCATTTGTGAACTGGTTGTGTTATGGATCTGTGAACCGAACGATGGAGGAGGAGTCTATGTCAGGACACAGCTGTTCTGAGGACGACATCAGCGTTGGACGACCTTCGCCGGCGCCGTCGCGGTCGCCTTCTCCGCACGACTACTTCAGACCGCTGAAACGACTGAAGATGGCCTCGGAGCCGGTCGAGGAGCGGCGCGGCGAAGGCGTCAAAAGTTTCTCTATCTTGGACATTTTATCGCACAGTCCGCGCACGCCGCCGCGTATAGTTCGCCCGTGGGACGCGTCAGGCTTCGAGAGATTGCAGCGGCTTCAGCGCTTAGCCGGCGCCGCCCTACTCGACGGAGAGAGATGGAGGCTTGCCGCTTTGGGTCTGCTGAGGCCGCGGGACATGGGCTCGGCTGAATGCTGCGACTCGGCATCCGAGAGGTCGTCTTCGGCGTCGGATTGCTGTTCCGAGCCGCGACGGGCCCAGCAGACATCCTCCACGGCGCCACACACGCCACTGGACGCTCTGTTCCACATGACAAGCAAAACTTTTGAAGCGAACAATACTGACAACGGAGGTAAGTACCATCGTTTTAATCTCGTAAAATTTTTTAGAACAAAACTGGGTATAAAATCAATTAGTCATGATTACAGATCGAAATTTTTATTTTGTATTTTATCATGGCTTCAATAAACGATAAGAGAATATGTATTAATTAAAAATACGTTAACGGCTTAATCTTGTGTTTATTGTTTCCGACATATCGAATAGGTAAATTATAATTTTAGTGGAAGGCGAATGACAAATGTCTTATTCGTCAAAATTTGTATGCATTGTGCACGATAACACTAGATTTGATTACGTCTACAGCAAGCTAAATCCAAAGAAAATTACCAATAATCTTATACTTAATATGCGTTGTAGGAAAGAACAATAATTTACGACTTAATAACAATATGTATGCGACTTTCAAATGTTAGACAGACGGTAGCGCTAACTGCAACTGTTGCAGTTAATTATCCGATTAATTGAGAATTGCAGAGTCTCGTGTAGTTCCGTTTTCGTTTTAATAGATTAAATTACGTCTTTCACTGCAAATTTTAAATGTTAATTACACGTTTTTCGTAATTAAAATCGGCGATGTGTTTGTGAATCGCCCGTGCTCTCTTGCAGCCGTCGTATGTGTGCTCTGCAAACGTAGGCCTAAAATGAAACGTAATTACTCTGGCAGCCAACGAAAAAACTGCGTTTGTTAGTAACTGTAAAAAAAAAGTACGATATGATTAGTGTTGTTCTATAAAACCGAACATCTCAGTGTCATTAAGTGTAATTTATCGAGAAAAGAAAAGAAAAAGAGGCTTCTGGAGAGTATTAAGCGGTAGGCAGCGGCTCGGCTCTGCCCATGGCATTGCTCAAGTCTATGGGCGACGGTAACCACTCACCATCAGGCGGGCCGTATGCTCGTCTGCCTACAAGGGCAATAAAAAAAAATACAAACCTTTTCTCATATCGAATTTTAAAACACGAGAATCTAAGTATGTTTATTAAAATTTAGTATGTGTAATTACAACGTAAAATCACTGAAATCGTTTTAATAATCGTTTTATTGCTCCACATGTGCGAACTGGATCGATGTTTTGACAAACAATGTCACAACAGAATAACAAAATGCTCCAATATAAAGAGCTGGCACATTGTCAAAACATAACTTGAAAGAAAACATCGGAAACAATAATTTGACGATAGCCGTTTTTTATTTAATTACATAACATTTTTTTAATGCGGCAGAGATAAATATGGTTGTTAATTATTAAAAAAAAACACTGGCTATAAATTTTTTTGGTGTTATCAATCATAAATTTTAATATCTTTCTTTTATTTTCTAGCACATGTTTTTTCTATAACTGACTTTTCTAAATAATTCAAAGTTTTTGCTAATTTGAATTTCATTTATTTCTAATTTATTACTTCGAAATAAATTTACTATTAAGTGTTGATAAATTCTCCACTATTACATCGTAAAATTATTAAAATAACCAAAGTATTACGTGGATATTTATCGAACATGGCACGTCTACAAAATGTTTAATAAGACACAACATTAATTTGAATAATTGCGTACTTGTCACATTTCTCATAGCACTTCTAACAATACACTTAAAGTAATAATAATAAATAAATAAACAATAAATATTTACTAACAATCACGCCACGTTAACTGGACCCGTGATAAGTTCGTAAAGAACTTGTGTTACAGGTACCAGATAACGGAAATAAATGTAAGATTTTTATTATACACATACATATATTTAATATTTTAATATACATCCATAACCCTGGAAAAGACATTTATATTTATCATACAAATATCTCCCCTTGGCGGGATTCGAACCCGCGACCCCCTTGTGTACTGACCATGTTACTTACCACTACACCAGACGGCCGTTATTTAAGTTTTTTTTTTCTGTAGATTCTCAGTTCAAAGTTGACTCACTTCTTAGTCTGCCGATGGAGGCGTATCATTTGTGTAACATCATTATCTTGGTTTTAAAAACTAGAATGATATTTTCGTTCAGAAGGAATCATGAAGCGGTTGTTTTATTAAAACTTAAAATTAAGCTACGTGTTACCAGCCCGTACGGGTGAGCATCGCTATCTGACTTCAAAGAGCCAGGTTTGTTGTAGGGCTAATGGACAATCAAATCGAGATTTTGTTCTTAAGTTTTAGAATGTCAACACCCAGACTCTGACGTCAATGGATTCTATAACTACTTAGTCCCAGAAAGGAGTATCAATCACAATAAAAACTTTATAGAAAAAAAAGAAGAAAAAAAAACATTTTAATTTTTTCCATTAGTTGTATTTTGTCGTGCCTCATGTTTTTTTTTTTCGAGACATTAATAACGTTAATGAGTGTCGACAGAATATCGAATAATAGAGAATATCTTCGTAATGATGTTTTTGAAAAATATATTAACATCAGTTAAACAGGTACAGATCAGACTAATACTCGCAAAATCGCGTCAATAAAGTATTAAATTGCTCCATTTTATGTGTACCACTGTACGTATTGTGATTCAAATTAAAAAAGAATATAATACTTTTTTTTTCCTACCTAAGAAATTTCTTCATTACTCATTTAGCCTTTTGTGTGGGCTTACAATCCATATTACAAAGAAGATAAATGATACAAATTATTTTGAATAATTCTTACGTGTCCAATTTATGGTCATCCGCAGATTCCCGTGAACTCTGAAAGTCAACTTAATATGAATAAACTAGATGGTGTTAATATTTTGATTGAATAGGCGCGTATTAGGCAACGACCAGAGATTAACCTAGATTTTTTTCTTTTTTTTTTTCCTACCTATGCTACTAGCCTTGAGAGGCTATGTCAGCGTAACCGGGCGAGGTGAGCTCACGGGGCTCAAACCGGAGTGTTGCTAACACTGACCCTAACAAGAGCAGTACTTCGCAGGATCTACCACCGGATCGGAAATGCGACCCACTGAGAAGATCAGGCGTGAAACTCAGTGGGCTGTGCCTATGGCTTAATTTACTCGCCAAGCCCTTCGTCGCAAGCGACGGGTTCGGCGAGGACGGTGACCGAAAATTCTTAGGGACTCATAGTATACTAGTGTGTTATATGGCTGTACGACGCGTGCCATTTCACGAGCGGTCACAGATTCAAGACCGGACCTATACACATATTTTCAGTGGTGTTGAAATTCAAATGCACTCATAGGAAGCATGTTTTCGAGAACTCACTCTTGGTACCTTCTGGACTTACTTTGTTTGTGGAAGTGGAATGCTTACTCTCAGGTAATTCTCTTGTTGTTTTTTTTATTGACCTTGTACGCAGACGAGCAGCACACGGCCCACCTGATGGTGAGTGGTAATGAAAGGGGCAGAGCCAAGCCGCTGTCTACCGTTAAATACTCTCCACAAACCTCGTTTGAAGAAGGACATGTCATAGCGCTCGGGAAACACCGCGAAGGGGAGCTCATTCCAAAAGCGAATGGTACGTGGCAAAAAAGATCTCTGGAAACGCACTGTTAATGAACACAGTGACTCCCAGATGTCTTCGTTAACTGATAAAAAACCAAAAAGGCATATTAAATAATGTAACGAAACCATCAAAAAGTTTACGTATTAAATGGGCTACCTGCGGTTATAAAAGAGCAAAAATGTTTAAAAATAGATATATAGTATGTATGAAATGTATGAATATAGAAACATAAATTCCTTGCATACAGTTGATGTCAGAGAAAAGAGACCCATTGAGTTGCACTCGCGCTGTCTAGAGGATTTTATGGAACATCTTTGTCTGACAAAATTGTCTGTAATAGCGCTGAATGTGTTAATAAAAAAAAAGAAATCCAAATTATAAGAAACATTATTATGATCGTTTCCTATGCCAAAGTCAAGGTATTGGACCAAACGCGCGTCTTCCGGTAGACAAACAGCATCGGTAAGAACATTGTTCATATTCTATACCTACTTATAAGCTACATTTACCGATTTTATTGTCATCACATTTCGGATTTTTTCACCATTCGTTCTTTTTGATGATATATTCCGCAACTAACAAATCTTATATATAATTTCATTATAAAAGAACACCGTATACACATATTGAATAAAGTATTAACTGAAATTGTTCAATTATAAACAATTAAACTATTAGACATAATTGATTTGTACAATTGAAAAACAATTAATTGTTTTAATGTTCTAACAAGGTGTTGGAAATTAATGGAAATTTATATTGTTCAATTAAATTATTTTCAAAAACTCACGTATTTAATAAATATTGTATATTGTAATTGTAATATATTATAAAGAGGAAAGATTTGTTTGTTTGTTTGTTTCGAATAGGCTCCGAAACTACTGGACCGATTTGAAAAATTATTTTTCCATTAGAAGCCGACATTGTCCCTGGTGAACATAGGCTACTTTTTTTAATTTTTTTTTAATTTTTTTTTTTTGCTTTCTTGTGTGTTTTAATGTTTCCGAAGCGAAGCGAGGGCGGGTCGCTAGTATTGTAATAAATTTAAGTATTCTATTCGCGCTTTTGCAATTTGAATATTCATTATAGTCTTTATTTTACGTAATTTATTACCAGATTAATGATTCATAAATTTCATTACATTTCTTTAAATTAGTAACGCATTATGTTTTATAACAAAATTAATGAGCTCAAAGCTTTATTTAAAAAAATATATTTCTTTCATTCGATCAACATTTTAAATCTTATGCGTATTTAATTTTTTAAAATGAATCCATTGATGTGACCGGCATGAAATTTTTTTTTTCTTAATTTACAATACAATAAGAATTTGTTGACATTATCCATGACAATCGACAAGATTTATTTTTAAGTAAAGCATTTATATTGGTGTCAATAAAATTGTTACAATACAATAAAGACTTCGGCCTTATATATCAAGGTGTTTTGCTGCATTCACGTTGTGATGACCATTAAATAATATCAACTCTCTTTTAGAGAACGAATTGAATTGGCTAATTAACTGCAGACGGATGATGAAGTGAAAGAAGTACATATGTATTTCTGAG